TCGTCGCATCGGCTTGCTCGCTCAAGGACGGCAATTGGCCAGAATCTCATGCTGCCCAGCTAACTACTTCGTCATACACTCCCTGCGACAACGCATGGCTTGCTCCGTCGAAACGCCTACGGGGCGCCCCCACCGTCAAGTTCACTAGAATATTCTATGGACACTGACATGGATGCGACCGTAGAAGCCGCCCAAGATGGAATTTCTGATCAACTGGCTCTCTCTGCTGCAGTTCTTGTCGCACACTGTGGCCCCGCCCCTTCAGACCACGCCCAGCCGGAATTTCCGGATGGTGATTTGTTGAACTTACTTCCGTCCTCCCTGGGACTGGAAATGTCTTCAACATATCACTGTCCAGAAACATCCACCCTCCCTCAACCGGGTCGTAATCCTACTGACCCGCGACTGTAACAGCCTGTTGCTGAACTCACCTACGCTGGAGATGCGAATGCCACGAAGATCCCACCACCGAAAGTTGACACCTGGCGCCGTGAATGCTACACTACCCACCAACGTGCCGCAAGCACCTTACCCAAAGAATTTATTCATCAAGCGCTCCAGGCGTCACCTCAAGAACGGCGTGCTCTTGTCCCGACTTCCACCTGAGCTGGTTCTGAGAGGTGCTAACCACATCTACGCTTCAAGGCCAGTCGTTTGTGCTTGATTTGAGCTCGATTGGACAATAATTGATGAAGTTACGGGTGTTTTACGATTGGCTGAGGGTTTCACAAAAGTTTAGCGATTGGTTTTGAAGTGAGATGGAGCAACAAAGAAAATCGAAAATTACTGGGATGTTCGTCTTTCAATTGGCTACATTCGTGCAAGTTTGGAGCCTATTTTGATTATTTTCGTCAGAGAAATGATATTGTGAGCAACATGTCTCCAGTTTTACTGAACGGAGGAAGTAAAAGAAAAATTTCCACTGATGGTTTACCCTTGACATTCAGGTATAATGCGCATCAACACGGGGATTGCTCCCTGCATCTTCCGCTTGTAAAGCAAGAGCTCTACAACGTGAGCTACATAACCTCGTTGTGGATCAGTAGTCAAAACTTTTTCTGATGTCCCCCCACTTTGAAACGGGTCAAACCCAATAATTTACGAAAACTTATGCTGTCAGTGTTATAAACTGTTGGAAACATACAGGTGTTATTGATTATATTGAATAGAAATAGTTGGTTGACACGGGTCATTTGAAGTAAACAGTACCTGCAAAATTTGATTCTCTGTCTAAATTGTATCATTTGCTCTGATTCAAAGTGGGGGGATCAGTAGTGAGCCCCCCCCCCTTCTTCAAGATTCTGTTCCTGTACAAAAGTGAAAACCTCTATAAGATGATATTTTTGAAGGTTTTCCCCTTCACATTACTTATAGTGTAATCCAGTATAGATTCGGCTGATCATTGTGTTGTGATTGGAAAAAGTCGGACAGCCATCTGACTCTGCAGTGATTGGCTTAAATCGGTTAATTTCCACGACAATGTCCATGTGGGTCAGTATTTGGCGCGCCGTGAGGCATGTCAACAATGAAGTCAAATTATATTCCACACATCAAATGGTCGAAGTCTCACGTCTACGCGTCCTTGCAAGGCGTGCAAACGTCACAACCTTCAGCTGGGATAAGCGTCGTTGTCGTCCACGTTGAGTCTCCCACCACAACTTGCGCAAGCTTGCCATGATAACGCTAAATGCAGCAATGACAGTGGCAGATGCGCACGGACGACGCATAACAGAACCATTTGCACGTAAATGTACCTTTTGGAGCTCATCAACAGCAAAACCCCACTCACAAAAAATCTTGCCCAGTTTCTTGTTGATGTCCCGTGAGCCAAGGCTGGACAAAGGAGGAATCCCCCGAGCTGGCGAGCCACACCACCACAAATGCCACGCAGTCGCCACATCTGCAGAAGGCAAGACAAACTCCTCGGGGAGCATGTGTCATCGACACCCCCAATGATGGATTGGTCGAGTGATTGATGAGCCTTCATCAACTTGGAGCGGTGGAGACGTTGCTCTTGTTTCCGCGATGGAATCGACTGCTTTCTTCAAAAGCTTCTCGAGCAACGAGTGGGTAATGTTGCCTGCTGTGACTCCCTTCTCTTCAAGG